ATGATTTGAGAAATACATTCATCTGAATGATGAAGAGTAGATTTGATAAGGAATCATTTGTAAAATTCCTCTATTTAATTTAATACATCATAGATATTCATTAAATTTATAACCGATGAATATCTTCAATCTAGTCATCATACTTTCAATCATGTCAATGATGACACACTCATAATTAAAATATTTTAATGATTCAATTACCCATTCGTGGTTTACTGTGTCATATGCTTTCTTAATGTCATAATATGACTCATCATATTTTGGGTATTTTTCTTCTTTCTGCTGCCTTAACATATAACTATTAATTATTCCTTCTTTAGCAGCTAAAGATTGTAACTTATATCCCAGTTGATTTTTACTGATTTTCAATGATTCACAATTCATGTTAAGTCTTCTGTGAATCTTTTCTTTTAATATGGAGGTAAATACTTTCATAATTACATTTGTACAACTGATAGGACGATAATTAATGACATCATTCATATCACTTTGTGGATTAATAAAGTTCTTCCACTTACCATGTCTAATGGGATGTTTTCGGGGAAGTTCAACCATTCATTGAAGATATTGAGAATGGTTTCTCTTGATGATGACATCCTTTTCAAATAATACCCATATATAGTGTCTATTCATTGTGTTTTCCAGTTATTTATTCTCATTATACTTAAATTTAATTCATTTAATGTTATTATGACATTATCATAATTTCTATATCTTTCATTCCACGAGGTGATTTGTTTTATTTTCCAATTCTCTTTATTTAATTTCACCTGTGTTTCATATAACGATTTCAAATATTCTAAAGTAATATCGTTATTTGGGTATATTTCATTTTTTGGGTCTTTCTTCCTTATTCTACTTTTCTTATTAGAATCAAGCATGATTTTATTTGTATTGATTCTGATTATTTCATCTTTATTAAATTTAATTCTTTCTTTTATCATTGTCATCATATATTTTGGCTACTTTATTCTTTCTAGTGCTTTGACTTTTATTCCTTCTTCATCATGTTCATTTAATTTCATGATGCACTTTATTCTCTACCATTTTCTTCCCTTGACCAAATCTTCTAGTCTATTGATTTTCTTTAGGATTTCTTTTATTTCATCAAATTTATCTCCTATTATTTTATTTTGGAGATA